TTCATTTAGACCGAAGACTAACGTGGAACCCACATACTAGACTCAAAAGACAAGAACTCAACCGACGATACGGCCAGCTATACAGACTACTAAACAGAAAATCCAAACTTTCTATTGAAAACAAATTACTTATCTACAAGACAATACTGAAACCTATATGGACATACGGACTTGAACTGTGGGGATAGCAAAAGCTTCTAAAATCAAACGTATTCAATCCTTTCAATCTAAAGTCCTTCGAACAATAGTTGATGCTCCGTTCTATGTAAATAACAAAATCCTACACCATAACCTTAATATCCCATTTGTCCTAGACCTTATTCCAGAAAAATTCACCAGAACCTTACCTATCATCCAAATCCCCTTGCACAATCTCTATCCAGCACCACCCATCCTTACAATCCTCCTCGAAGGTTGAAGCGGCAGTGGCCCAGAGACCTTTTGTAAATAAGCATCTATTGGAGTTTTGGCAATGGCCAGATCCTCCACTCAAGCCCGAGTGTGTATGATCAGGTTAGTTCTTTTGTTTATATACATTTATTTTATTTTATTGTATTTATTTTTATTTTATTTTATTGTATTTATTTTTATTTTATTTTATTGTATTTATTATTATTAAGTTTCTGTATTATTTTTTTTTTATTGTAAATAGAGTGTGAGTGTGCTTTCTCTGAACACTATTATAAATGTCCTTGATGTGACAGAATGTAATATTTCTAAATAAACAAATATAAAAAAAAATAAAAAAATGAACTTCTTCCGAATACCCTTTTATTCGAGCACAAGAAAATAAGTTTTTTCTCCCGAACCCAGTTTTCATTCAGTTCCAATATATCTGGATGCATTGCAACCTCCAGCAATTATAGTTGTATATATAGTCTTCTTGAAGAATCCTTGCGATTTAAAATATTGGTCATGATAATAACTTTTATATTTCTCATTAGAAAGTGTTTTTCTTTTCTTAAAATAGTTGATACTGGGAACTTTTTCATGAAGGAAAGTATTGATTATTTGGTCTCCGATATGATCGGAATATGAATATAATCGGAACCGGAGTTTATTCTGAGTCTCTTAGAGAACTCATTTCAAAGTTGAATCTGTCTCAGTTTCCGACAAATTTGGTAAACATTAGCGTTCGTCGACTGTGGTTATCGACCATATAACTTAATAAAATTATTAATTTTAGGCACTCGTTCGACTTCCAACTTAACGTTCTTCAATTTCTTAACGAATACGTTTTTCCCTTTGATACACTGTTTAGTAGTAATAGATTTAAAAAAAAATTATCGAATAAATCTGTCTTTTTTGGCTGTAAATGCTTTTTCTTGGTGACTCGTGTTAACAATTTTGTTTTTTACATGTCTAAACCTATGTACAGGGTGTCCCGTAAGTAAAGGGATTATTTAAATGAGTGATAGCAGACATCAAGAGGTATAAAAAAATTAATATAAATTATATTAATAAATTATAAAAATGTTCTGATTTCGATGAAACTTGGGTAAAATCTCCTCCTTCGTAGATCTTTAAATTTATCTAATAACATACTTCACATAAAAAAAAAAAAAAAAACCAAAACGAATAAACTTTTTAGTCAATGTTGATGGTCTTTTGTCGTATCGGGCGATTTGGTGCAAATATATGTTGTCCTAAATATTTTCCATATTTCCGCTGTAAAACCGATATATACTTTTTTTTGTTTTTAATTTTTAGGTAGTGTTACATCAACTGAAGCAATCGGGATTGTCATTTGTAGTTTTTAGCAAATTACTGATGAAAAAAAAAATGATTTAGACCAATATTATACCAATTAGGAATTACCTTTTATTTATTGTCCTCAAGTGTCAAGGAAAGTTGTGTTAGATATGATACATAAGTGTTTGGAAATAATAATCCATTGAGTAATAATTTACATATTTTTTTTTATTTAATATGATTCATCTTCTAGTGTGTCATGCTGGTTCCAAATTGATCACAAGGTGTTATGAAACATTAAGTATTATCTTTCATACAATACTTATAGCCCAACACCTACAGTAACCTAATTACCAGTTGTGAGATTAAAATCTGAACACGAATATTTTAAATATGACTTATAGTTAACCGTCATTGGTATATTTAAAATTTGACTTTAATTAACCCTCATTGATACATTTAAAATTCATTAGAGTTGGTTTTAAGAGTCAGTAAAATCTTAATAATTGTATCATATTTAAAAGAGGTACCATTTTCTTTGATAGTACCTGAGGAACACGTCATAAATATAACAGATGCACTAAAAGAGTCTATTCTTCCAAAAAGCTTTTGTGAGAAAACAATTGAAACCTGTTAGATGAAGTGAAGAAAGTATTCCAATCAGGATTTAAATATATTGTGAAGACAAGTGATTGATCAATATTGAATTTGTGTTTTGAACAACTTAAAGCAATTAATTATCATCTTTCGTTTTTTTAAAGATATCCTTTTGTTGTGCATAGTCATTGAACATATAAGCAAGCCACGTATATTATTTATTTAACTGATAGGGTATCTGTTAAAAAGTGTTTTGAAATTAATTTTGGAATTTCGTCAGTTGCCAAAAAAAAAAATAAACAATAAAGATATATTATAAAACAAAGCCTCCAAAATTAAATCCTGGATCTGCTACTAGCTGGAAGTATTCCGAACTTCGGCGGGCCAGAGCTTATTTTTATAAAAATAAACCTTTCAGTAAGTATGAGAAAGTATTATCTTTGACAAGCTTATGTTTCAAAAATAACTCGTTCGATTTGATCTAAACTGGAATGAAAGTTAGGGTCGACGGATAAATGACGAACGTGCAAACGTATTTCCCTCAATACACCTTTTTTCAAACAGCTGATCATTTGATTTGTCCCACACTTAAAGAATAATGTACAATTAAAATTGATGCAATTTTAAACAATATAAAAGCTGTGAAATGTGGTAGAGGATTATAATATGGCATAGAAGGTTATGCACATTTTGAAAAATAAAGCTATTTATTGTACGTTTCTTACTGTTCTATTCAGTTTTCAAATGAAATTATAATATCAGTGTAAGCAGAATTTGTATAAAAGTGTATCTATATATTTTTTTAATTATAAGGTTTTCCAAAAGATAAGGAATAAAAGTGTATATGTACATAATGGGCCAGACCTCTTCTATCATACACCACTCCCTCCCATACTCCTATAAATTGCATATGTTTGTGTTCCTTGCGACTATTTATTTAAAGAAGCCAATTTTCCTACAAAAAAAATGGCCACACTGCCAAAAAATGGCGTCCAAAAAGACTAACGACTTTGTCTTGAGTTAGTTTTTTGATCACTGAGATTTATCATTTGGTTTAATTTCACCATAATTGGCCTTTTATTAAAGCACGATAGCCAGATATTAATAAAACATTAAAACAAATTGGTTTAGGCAATAAAAAACACCGGTAAAGTCGTTTTTTTTTTAAAGTCATTCGAATTAAAGTTGAAAATCAATGGCCGTTTATAACTAAATGGACGTAAATAAGGAATAATAGTTCTGAAGTAAACCATCTGGATAATACATTTCTCTTTTTAAAACACAGATTATTTTCAATATTTGAAGTGGTTCCTTAGAACATACACTTAATCGACAGAAAAACCGTACTGTTGTAAGCGTATGTACTCCTATAATAACTATTTTGGTATATTATTTTGATTGTATTAAATTCGGTACAGAAAAACAAGATAAAATATAATATTTTTTTCTTCTATTTCGGTGTCGTGAAATATTTCAGTTTCTATTTTTTTTATTTAAGCCAACATTACACCGATGTTCTCACTTCAAAATTCTACTTCCACGTTTCGGCTCGTCGAGCCATTTTCAAGTCTAAAAACATTTTTTCAATTTACAATCCAATATTATTATGTTAAATTTACCACGGATAATTATTCTTATAATCATTGATATGTTTTAAAAAACTCTAACATGTTTGAAAATGTAAAAAGTCGCAGTAGGGTTTTGAAGTGAAAACATCGGTGTAATGTTGGCTTAAACAAAAAAATTAGTAACTGAAGATAAAAGATCTTAATAATTTGTATAATGGGAAACAATGACGTCAATAACTGACAGTAGTAATAATTACATGAGAGAAGTTGGCTTTAGTTAAATTCAGGGAGCAATGTATAATAAAGAGAAACTGGATTCTATTACATTGTATTATAGTTCAATAATTTGGGCTTATAGTGGTTCTAATTAATAAAATACGTTCTTGAGATTATAAATAATCATCAGCAGCCTGGTCTCCCATTTTTCTTGTCTCATAAATCCTTTCTTCTAGGACCATCCTAGGAATCTGATCCTGGGTCATTCTAATTAAATGACCTGCCCGTCGAAGATTATAAATAATACAGAATGGATACTCATTATTCTAATATAAGGCCTATGAATTAAAATGTCTGCAATATTACAGAAAGGAAAACTTCAACTTCATTCTTAAAAAACTGAAGAAAAGCTGAGATAGCAGTATTGTCCAATTTTGTGCAGGATATCAAACACTAGGTCCACTAAACTGCAGGCTAGATATCTTAGAGACCCCAATGCTAGAAAAGTCTAGAAGTATATTTAAAAAAATTATATATAATAAAATATTTATGATGATTTAACAAAAGCTTTCATTCAGTAATGAATTTTAATGTGATTCTTTTGTTTTAGAATTCTTTATTTTCTTCCCAGACGTTTAAGCTTATAGGAAGCTATTGTGAAGGAGAACCTTATTATAATTATAAAATATCCCACTAATTTGTCTGTCTTTTTTTCATACTCTTAGAGGTTTTTCCAAAAGCAAAAATATTATCACCCAGCATAAATATAACACTTCTTACCTTTAAAGCATTCATTTAGTTATGACAATTTTTTTTTTTAATGGGTATTTTTAATGTACAGCATTATCAATTAAAACTTTTTTTTTTGAAAAACAATATAAACATAATAATGAAGTAAATTAATAATACATACAATCATAATGGGGAGAGGGCTTTTGGGCTGAAGTCTCCTCCCCCAAAATGGTAAAATATAACCATGTTTTATAGAAAAAAATATTAAAAACTATCTCTTAAACTATTACTGTTTGTGTAATTACATTTAATAGCACTTCAAGAATCACTAAGACACAATGTCATATGGGTAGTTAGTTTCTTTCTTTCTTTTTTTTCAAATTAATTATCGTTATCAATATTATATGAAACAAAATCCTTCGGGCTGAAGTCCCCCCCAAAATTAAATCCTGGATCCGCTAGTGCCTACCACTGGTGGAAGAGTCAACGGTGAATAAAGGTATGTAATCAGTCTGCAAAACTACACTCAAATGAAATTGAGTCTTTTTAAATTCTTTTCCCGTATTCTAATGTTGACTCTCATAAAAAGAACCTTAAATAGAGACTAAAAAATTCTGAAATGGTATTGACATTTTCCTTGGTGAAGCATGATTTGAATTTCAAAACCTGTGTTACTGATAAAAAAAAAAAAATGTACAAAGAAGAACAATTTGGTTCTGTTATGAGATATATTGATGAATACATCCAACTGTAAACACTATGAATGTTTTGCTTGTGAATGAACTAGCCCAACAAATGGGTCATGTGATCATTTTTACCAACCCCTGATGGCTAGTTATGGGTTGCCTCCATGTACTAACCACAATAGGAGTGTCAAGTTAAATTTCTCGTTGAATTATGAATTTTTTGTCATATCATTTAATATACATAAAAAACATTTCAGATGACATCCGTAACATAAAAAATAACAATATATCTTAGAATAAACATGTACAATTTATAAAAAAATAATTTAAGCTTTCTTTTAAAAAACCTTCTTTACTATTTTAATTAATTTTATCAAAGAGCTTTGAAGAGAACTTGAAAAATATACAAGTAACTGAAAATCTTAAAAAGATATTTGATTTTTATATTCCTAATAATATTCCTGGTAAATAAATTTGTTGATATTGAAGTTAATCAGCATTCATTCCGCTATCAAGAAAGTCTGTTACCATATGTAGTACCTTTGCAGGAAATATCCTAAAAAATACAAAAAGTTTATATTATTTAATGATTATTATTATTCAATATGCCATAATGTTTTTCATGGCAAACTATAGCAACTTATGCAGTTTAGATTATATTAATGACAACCTTTACAATATGATCATATAAACGTTTTGGATATAAAGGAGGAAGCAAAGATTTCGATGTGTTGATATTCAAAAGGACTGTCCTTAAAGTTTAGAACGTATAGTGTGGCAACTCTAAAATGATCTAATGTAATAAATTAAAAGAAATCATAGAACCCTTACGGATCTAGTGTCAGAATACTGCGCAACTGTGTAATATTATTACAACGATATAATGACCATTCTCATTGAACATTGATCAAAGAAATATAATAAATGGATAAAAGTAAAAACATGCATGTATATATAATAAAGAGAAATATTGAATATTTAAGAAATGATTCTCACAAAATGTTTTCAGTTGCCTTACTTTGTCCATGTTGACTATGATTGAGTTATAGTATGATAAATGTTAATGATGTTATTATATGTAATGTTAATTGAGTGGAACATCAAGTCAAGATGAATAAATAGTGATAGTAAATATTTACCTTACTGTTAGTAAAAACAATAGTAAATATTTCCATAAATTAAATTTAGTATATTTGTGCTTAAGAAAAAGGGAAGCAATTTACTAGGGATTCCTCAGATCTCAGAAATCTCCAGTATCTTAAATTAATATAATTTTAAAAAATCACGCAACACAGAACTTTCCCTTACCACTCAAATCTGAAAGCTAAAAAATCAGAAATACTATTAACATAACAAAAGTCCTATTTATTACATCACTGGTTAATTATGAATTGTACGTTCTGTTGATTATGGATTGTATGACTATTAGTTATTAAACTGTTATTTTCCATTGCAAAGTTTACTGAAAGGGAATTAAGAGATTTGCATTGTCTGTCATAAACAGGTCAAAAGTTGTCAAATGAATTGTAAATGGGTAATGTTGGAATATCACAAAAGGAAATTTCATCAAACTATTCACCAATTTAATTTTCTAAAAGGTTACATGATGATTTTTCAGAATAAACGGACGATAGATACCTAAATATTTAAATATAATGTCATATCTAGAGTTATTAAACTAGAGTAAATATATTTAAGGTTATAAATGTATTTATGAAATACTTTTATATCTCAATTCTTCTTTCACACAACTACAATGAAATAGTAGTGGATACTGTTGGAATATCATAAAGAGAAGATTCATCAAATTATTGACTAATTTAATTTTCTAAAAATTAAATGGCAATATTTTGGAATAAATGAACGTTAATACCCAATTATTTAAATATAATATCAGATCTAGAATTATTAAACTACAGTAAATGTATTAAACATATGCTTTATACATCTATGAAATCATTTTATATTTTACTTCTTCTTTCACACAAGTACAATGAAATAGTTTTTTAAACAATGTCATTGCCTTGATTAGGTGGATTTTAAATACTTTTTTTAAACTTAAAAATATTTTAGAAGTTTACATCTGAAATTCTCCGCTTTCCAACTATATATTATAGGTATACCTTCTGATTAGTATTTTGGGAGATTCATTTTCGACCTGGTTAAGCATTTTTATTTTTTTCTCCTTTATTCAATTGTCAAATTCTTTCAAAAGTTATTCATAGCATTTTTTTGTAACTCTTAATAATGAGAGGTAGTTAATTATTTAAAATAAACCATATTAAAGGTGCTTTAGAGGAAAATGCATATGAACATTGATCATTTAAGCCCTGTAAAGTGACATCATCGGGGATAAGACCTAAATGATATTAAAGACCACTTAATTATACAATGATACACTGAGTTTAATCAAAATCGTTTGAGCCGTTTTTGAAAAAAATTTTAAGAATGTGTTTCAGTGGCACTTTCTATTTTTTTAGCCGATTTTAATAAAAAAGTTGCTGTCACATCTAAGGCATATACCTATATTAAATACGTAATATCAGTTTCGTATGACTTTTCGTTTTTGAGCTAGACTGCTAACACACACACAGACACACAGACCATTTTTTGGGACTTGGTTATTTGGACTCAGGGTACCCCAAAACGTGTATATCCATTGAAAACTCAGATTCAAAAATTTTCACAGTCGCAATACTTACCCTTACTATATATTATATATATACATAAGTGAAAGTAAAAAAACATGCTATTCTAAATTGGAAATCTCTCATTTGTTTTTTTTTTTTCTACAAATCAATCAGTTTTGGAACATTTTCACAACAGATAACTCTCAGCTAACCTTAACAAATATTTTTAGCCATTACAAATATTTTTTACCTAAATATGTTATTCACTGCCATGAAGAATGAAGGAATAGTAACAATGGACTTATTTTGCCTCATAGAGGTGACAATGATTTCAGCTACTGATTTGGGGTTCAATAAGGCAAGAATCTCACCAAACCTAAAAGATAATAAACCTATTATACATTTATTATAACTATTTTTCATCAAGAACATCTAAAAAAAAAAAAAAAAAATATTAAGTAACAAATAAACTAAGATAAATATAGAATTATATACCACATTTAAATATTTTAAATATAAAAATAATTTTTACTAACAATTTTTGAACTTTCTAAGTAGGAATGTTGATTATTTTTAGTGGTATCTATTGCAACAACTTCCACACTTATTTAAGAAAAATCATTATCAATATAATGAAATATTATCTTTTAATAGCAGTAATTCTAGTGAAATTTACAATAGAAAACTTTCAAGGATAAACTATGAATTAATTGGCTTAGATGTAACATTCTTTTAAAATCATTATATAGAATGCCATTATTAAAAAAATAAAATAAATAAATAATTAGTTGTACTATAAAGAACTATAAAATGTACGTACCTTTGGTTTATTTTTGGATTTTTACATAATCCAGTGTTAACCATATAAGGACAGATGATTGTAAAGTGAACTTCTGATGCAATTTTTTCTTCTCTGAATTCTTCTGCCACAGCTTCCATTAGACCTAAACAGAAAGAAGTTTAAAGAAGAGGAATTAATGCCCCACAATCAGTGTGATTTAATAACCTCTATGACTCATTGGTAGACATTAATTATTTTATTCATGTTTGTTAATTTGTAAATGTATCGTTGTTGATTAAAAAAAACAATAAGAATGACTAAAATATTGAATAGAAATATTTTAACAAAGTTAAGTTTTTGAATATATTTTAGAGATATTTTTTGATTAATTGTTTCACAAAATATCAATATTTTGAAAAAATTATTTATAGCAAGTAATAAATATAAATCGTGGAAATATTTTGACCATAGAATGAATTTTACGAGAATTGGTAAGGGTTGCAGTAATAGAACGATTAAATAAGAAACCTTATTTAATTGTGTACCCCAAGTTTCAAAGCAAGTTTAAGGCCTTCATTAGCGCAAAATGCATCAGAGTGCTAAAGCAAGTGCTCAGTTGATCAACTTATCCGTAATAAATATAAATATTATGATAAAAAATAACTTCAGCTCTGCTTTGAATTATTACAATCTTAATTAATTTCATTAATAACTAGGAAATATTACCTCTTACAGCAAATTTGGATGCACAGTATGGAACCAGATTTCTTAATCCAAATACTCCTGCCATTGAAGAGAGAGCAACTATGTGTCCATGGTTTTTCTTAATCATATTGGGAAGTACAGCTTCTAAAAGCTATATATAAAAACAAATTGACTTTTAAATCATTTGAGCTCATAATTTTGATCTCATAGAGTGTATAAACAGTGTCGACCTTAGGGTGGAGAGGCACCCGTTAGGGACGCTGACCGATCTTAAGGGGTGCTCGCTGTTTGTTAAAAATAATTAACTTTAGCTTATCAATAAAGTAGCTGTATTAGAGAAATATTGAATGAAATAAAATTGAAATATTAAATAATATAAAACAGCTCAAAAAATAAATTTAGTTTTCTTAGGGAGGTGGAAGATGACATCATTGCCTGGGGGTGCCTAAGGTATAAGGCCTGCACTGTGTATATGTATTATCAAATGATAAAATGACAAATATTCATACCCAAAAGTGAGCAAAAACATTCACTTCAAACATTTTTATGATTTCTTGTGGCTTATGATCAAGAAGCTGATGGCATGGCATAATTCCAGCATTATTTATAAGAACAGTGACATCTCCTACTTCTTTCTTGATTTTATCAATAGCTTGAAGGACTTCTTCTCTTTTGGTCACATCACATCTATAAAATCGTGGTATGATAAGTGAATTAATTAACACAGTATTACAGAATAATCATTTATAGAATTTGATTTCTTGAAATAAAATATTTTTAAAAGGTGAAATAAAATAAATGTTTTGGTCGAAACATGATTACAAATTTGCTTCAGGTTCATAATAAAAAAAAAAAGTATCCCTTAACATTTTGTTCAATTGAGCCATATTTTATACCACCTTTTCTATTAATTTTTTTCGTTTTGGACTAACCCTAAAAAAGATTTTTAGTTTAGAAAAAAGATATAGTTTCTTTTAAAAAATATGTTTAGCTACCTGAAAAATTGAAGTATTTAGACATTTTTGTTGAATATTAGTCTATAAATGGCAGTTATTTATTTATAAAAACAATCAAAGCTACAAAAGTCATTTGTTTATATTTTTAATTTACAGACTATAACAATAATTAAAAATATATTATAAATTATTATATTGTGAATATTTTTATTACAATATTGGTGTAATAGAATGTTTAAGAAAATACATTTTTGGAAGATCGAGTTCCACTTAACAAATTACTATCTTTAGTAAATTTAAAACATAGTGACTGATGACGGAGGTGTTCGAATTATTTATTGAAGAAGCTAAAGTGTATTATATTATCATTTATACTAAATCAGTAACATAATTGTTTATATTGCCAAATAAAGGAATACAGTAAATATCCTTGAAAAAGTCATTGACTTTTTCACAGTATTTCGTTTTAACAAAATTATTCAGTTAGTATGAACTTCCAACTACTTTTAAATCTATAGTTAGAATATGAGAAAAGGGGACATCCATCTGACTTCTACCCTTCTTCCCACCAGATTGCTGACAAGTCCTTCCTAACCTAAGTTGCCTCACTCTGAAACTCTACCCTCCTCCAGAGTCAACCCTTCATCTCAACATTGTTTCACTAATATCATGACCTGATTTAGTCTATTTTAGAATAATAATCAGCAATAGTTTTGGTTTTTAATTTTTTTTTTCTTGGTAGCCTGTATATTATACAAAAACGTTTTTAGTGACTATGTAATATTTTATTTTGCATATACAAAGCGGAATGGACCGTAACAATAACACTACATTTCTTCCTCCCAGAATTATGTTTTCCTTATTATAGTTACAAATTGTCAATCAGAATGATTATAATTATATAAACTGGCAATATTATTAAATAATGGTGATGTATAATATAAATCTTTTAAATAAATTAAAAATTTGTCTGAACTGTGGTTTCATTCAATTCATTTTATGATCATAAAAAATAATTCAATCTGAACTACAGAATACATGTAAAGTACATCTATATAATCTGAGAAATGAATATCAAAATTAAATGACCAGTTGTATAATTTGTAAAATGAGGGTTGGTTCATCATAATCCACAATTAAATTATGTTTTTTCTTTTCATTTTTCGTTCATAATCTCAGAAAAGGTTTAAAGCAATGGGTCAATATTATATGAGAATCTACCAACTCTCCACCTCCTCTCTCCTTTTGCAATGTAAAATAGAAGTAAGCATAAAACTTGTGCTATTTTCATTGTTCGGACAAATTTTACTTATCTAAAATTAAAAAAAATATTTTTTTTTTTGGTTTAATGTTTTTATTCACACCTGTCATAATGGTAATGACAACCAGTGAATGTGAGATCGATTGCTAAATATAATGTCATGAAAGGCGTGTGGAGGACAGTGCCCAGCAGCACCTCACTCGGCGTGATATAAAAAAAATATATGATTTAAAAATTTAATTTAAAAATATTTTTTTGTTATTTCTTTTATTTATAATTATTATTTTAAAACATAAAGTCACTAGAGAAGCTCTAAAGATCCAAATATGAGCTAAACATTCTAATAAACGATTAGTAATGGCCAGTGGTGGATGTTGTGGATGCGCTAACACATTTCGTTTCATTAAGATCTCCTGATCAATATGTCCTGAAAAATATGAATTATTACTTTGTCATTCTTACTTATAGGTGTGAACATTTTGGAAGCCATTGTTCTGAATTAACTTGACAGTCTCCTCGTTTCCTTTCTCGTTTATATCAAGGCATACAACAGTGGAGCCAAGTTCAGCATATTTAATTGCTATTTCTCTTCCAATCCCATGACCAGCACCAGTGACCTTGATTTGACATAATCATATAAATAATCATAAGTATTGTAAATATAAACATTTATTGAATCAAGAACAACAAAGAACTTCCACATTATTTATTTTATTATATAAAGTTTGTTGAAATTTTAGAGAATTGTTATCAGAACTTTTTCTTACAATATCTCACTGCTTCCATTGACTAAATTAATACTTTGCTGGACCATCAGAGAAAATGTCCTTTTTAATTACTTCATCTCTACTTGTCATGTTATTTTGTACTTGGAGGAACATGACAAGTAGGACTAATAGTATTTAAAAAGTATATTTTCACCGATGATTCTGCATAGATATTTTTGTATGTTGTGTATTGGAAGCAGGGAAATATTGTAATAAAAAGTTCTGGCATAAAAAAATCATAAATTATTAAAATAAAATAAATTATCCTGCTTACCAAAACAATCTCTCCTTTGACTGATTTTAAGGGTTTAGGAACAATTGAGTTAAATATTCCCTCTAATGTTACATAACAAATTTTAATAAAAAGTATCAGAATCTGTAATGCCAATGTTCCAATGGAGTATAGTTTCTGCAACATATTTTCTTCTTCATTTCTGAAATTAGATCTTTTGTCAATAGAAAAGACAAATAAGATGCTCCCAAAACTGTATAAAAATAATAACTATTTTAACAAAAATAGTTTATTCTGGCAGGGGTGCTCATCCCCACCAAGATCATAATAATCTATACTCCCCTCCCCCTCCCAAGATATTTTATTGTTCTCTTTTCATACAAACAGAGCAAGGGAAAGTAGAATTAGAAAAATCATAGATCATAAACAATTACACTTACAGCGGTCTGTTCGACGTTTTCCCCTTTCCCCTTATATTGAAATCTTTCATTCCGAAAATTCATAAACTCGTTGAAATTGGCCCCCCTTAAAAATTTTGATGGTGCAACTAGCACTATAAAACCCCTTCTTGGGCACTCCTGTATTAAATGATCACTCAATTTGATGTACCAATCACCATAAATGTATATTAAAAATTTATAACAAAATTACTTTAACTGGTGACAACTAGAAAAGGTCATAGTTCCTAATGGAAGAAAAGAAAACCAAAATGGAAAAACATTTTCATAAATTTTATAATCATTTTTTTAAATATTAGGTGTTTTTTAATAACATTGGTTTAAGAACAGTATGCTGACCAACATTCATCAGACCACCTGATATCACAGGTATGAGATCTATGGGAAGAGGACTTTCCGGCTAAAGCCCTCCTCTCTTCTCTCGCCCTCAAAATGGTGAAATATAACTATAAATATAAGAAATATGGTTTTATGGGAAAAATTATATCTTAAAGTATTATTGTTAGTGAAATAACATTTAATAGGACTCCAAGAATTAATTAAACACCATTTCTTATAGGTAGTTAGTTTCTTTCTTTTTCTTCCAAAGTTATTATCGTTATATTTGAAAAAAAAAAACAAAAAAACTTTCGGGTTGAAGCTCCTCTCCCCCAAATGAAATCCACTACTGCCTGATTTAATAGCCCAAAAACCTTGAGAAAAAAATCGACATTATTTAATGAAAACTTTGAAAGCATCTTTTTAAATATTTATAACATTTATATAAAAACCAAATGATAGTCTGACAGTCAGATCTTGCTACCTGTGAAAATGGCGGCTTATTTAATGAATATTAGACCAGTGACTTGTGGATTGAAACGAAAATTCATTGCGAAAATTGTGAGAAAAGTTTATATTTGTTTACCTTGTATATATACGTTGAGACATGTAAAAAAGAAAATTGCTACGCGGGTCACCAAGGGAAAAGGCTACATTTTACAGCCAAAAAGGCTGGATTTAGTTGATCTTTTTTTTTGTTTTTTCATCTATAGCTCCTAAACGGTGCATCACAGCGAAAAACGTTGTCTTTAAGAAATTAAAGAACGTTAAATTGTGTGTCGATTGAGTGCCTAAACTTTATAATTTGGATAAGTAGTATGGGTGACAACCACAGTCAATTTTTACCAATTTCGAATTTTTACCAAATTCGTCAACAACTGAGATAAATTACTATAAATGGTGCTGCAGTTTGGAAATGAGTTCTTTAAGAAAATAACTAATAGAATAAAAGTTGTAGAGTATCAAATTCCGCGTCCACTGATTACTAACAATTTTAATGTAGATCAATTATATCTCTCGAATTGCGGTTCGTTATTTCTTCAAGAAATTCTTCTTTTTTTTTTACACCTCATATCTCAAAATCCTTCTTTGCTAAGAAGTAGAAAAGAGTCTTTTGTATTGTATATACTATCCTTAATAAGGATACCTCAGTACGATAGACAGCCATGCTGTTGAAATATTTAAAATCACAGTTATTTTCAATACCAATTTCGAGCCATCCCTATTCATTATCTATTTCGAGCGAGGTAAGTGACTTACATTGAAACAGATGAAACTCAGTGGACACGGAATTCAATGCTCTACAACTTTTATTTTATGAGATTTTTCTTTTAGAGATTTCATTTTCCAGCTGCAGCGCCATTTATAGTAAGTTTTAGGTGAAAATCAGCGTTGGTTGACCGTGGTTATCTGCCATATTACTTAACCAAACTATAAAGTTTAGGTACTCACTCGACGCACAATTTACCGTTCTTTAATTTCTTAAGTAGTGCGTTTTCCGCTTTGATGCTTCGTTTAGGAGGTATAGTAGAACCAAAAAAAAAAATAAGTTCTAGCTTTTTTGACTGTAAAAGATTTTTTCGTTCGGTTAAAAAGATTTACCACAAATCAAAATAATCCAAGAGGAACGAGTTAGCTTTAAAAAAAATGTTTTTATTTTTTATTTGATTAATATTATAAACACACTAATAGGCAAACGAGAGATAAGTTGATAAAAAAATTCATATTGAAGTCAGTAAGTATGTTCATCGTGAAAAAAAAATTAATATGTGTGGTTTAGACCACACGATAGAAGTGAAAACATCAACACGGTGTGATTAATAATATGTAATATAATTATAGATAATAGCTCATTATAAATAGAATGAAATGCTGAACAATTCCATCGCTTTCAGTATGCAGGTCCGATTTTTAGTTTCTGAGATATTTTAATGCATATCTTCAATAAAACTCGTTAAAATTTGGTTTTCGATACTATTTTTTCACTTTTCGCCTCTCTTATTATTACAAAGAGGATGAAATGATAAACACTTCCCTCGCCAACAATAGGCAGGTCCGATTTATAGTTTTGAAATTGTTTAATCCGTATACAAATAACTTCAATTAGGCGACTTTAGCCAAGCGTTGCACATCGGAAATCTGACGGCTCAATCTAATTCACTCTCCACAAATATATTGCAAAACGCGCCTAAAGAAGTTTTAACTAAAAAAAAATTAAATAAAGATATTTATCCGAGATTTTCCTTCCTGGAATAATTTACAAGGCAGTGGCAATATGGCCCAAATAAGCAGATCTTCCATAATTAATAATTATGGACAACAACCAAACGTTACCATTTCCTCTCAATAATGAAGATACTTATATTTTTTATGATATAACACTTGATTATAATATTAATGTTAAGGAATGGTAATGTTTTTACTTTCTGGGGATGTTTGTCGAATTCCTATGCTCATTTGTTTACTTTCTAGAAATATTTGTTGAATTCCTTAGCCTTATGAAACTTGAGAAAGGTATATAAACAACTGCTAAAATAAACCAATCTCCTTCAACTCCTTTCAACTAAATTCAAACGTTTTTTCCTACTCACTACTATAAAATGTAATATTCATGGCTGGAATTAGGGTGAATCACATATTTATTTCTAAGTTTTTATTGTTTTAACCTTAATTCAGTCAATAACATCAGTTAATGTTTATTTATAATTATTAGTCTAAAATACAGTTATACAATTGTTTACTTTTATTGGGTGTTAAACAAAAGACAGGAAAATTAATCTTGTCCCCATGATAAAAATAATTAGTGATAATATCACCTTAATAATATAAATGAAAAATAAATATCTGTCTAATATCAAATCCATGTGATGGACATATCGGCTACTATAGAAATAATGTTAATCTGATTTTGATGAATTTCGATGGATTGTGTGGATTGGTACCTAACCTAGATGGTCCAATACCAATTCCATCCACTGCTTACGCTTGCTGATGCGCTAACGTATTATGATACGATTTAAATATTTTATATAAAAATGGCTTGCTCCATTATCCTTAAAGTTGGAAGACAATTAGGGACCGTTGACGGTATCGATATAACTTATTTTGGGTTTAACGTATTAATGTAATGTTGTAATAACGTATAATTGGGTGATGGGATTTATTAAACGGTAGACTACATAAGTTTATAAACTTGATGAGATTTATTGTTTTGAGTTTTTAATATAATTTTAGTAAAGTATTGATTGTTTTTATTATGCATTCGTTAAAAATGTTGAGGAAGCTATAATGATTTACTTGTTAACCTCTTTTTTAACTCTGAATCGATAAAGTATCACAAGATCCGGTGTTAAAATTTACATACAATAACGTTAAATATTTACTGAATAAATTCTGGGGAAAAAAATGCTACCAATAGCGCTTTACAACGGGATGCTACAGTCAGTGAGTCAAATTTACTCAAATACTAACTTTTTTTTAGAACCAAAGAATTTAATCACTGCTTAAGTTGATGCCAAACGATTAACTGAAGTAGTGATCGAATTCCCATTAGTGATTCGATTTGAATAAAATACTCGGTACTCGGTACTCAGAGTAGCATTTGCCCATTTCTGATTTCAACCAATTATTTTCTGGTGAAACTTCATCGACAAATATCGGGCACATATCCCGGCATTCGTTCCATTGTGCCTTAAGAGCCGATACAAATAAAGAAATCTAACATTAAGAAATGGTTAAATCAATCACCTTTTCAACTAAATTAACGTTATTTATTTACTTTTTCTTGGCAGTTAGTATTTTAATCATATTTATAAGAGAACATCTATTTCATTCAATAGCAGTCATTATTAACCGTATTTGAGTAGAACATATTTCATGAGTTGTTATGTTAGCTTTTAATGAGCTGTAAGTGTTTTCTAATGTAACTTCAAAGGAAACATTTTGTCTCAGTGGTCTAATGTGTATCGAATTAAAAAAAAAAAAATTAGTAATATTTTACTTTATAAGCCTAATTGGTAATTTATTTAGTATTTGTTTTAAATTTTAGTAACTCTTTGAGTAAATATTTTATCTTAATTTTTACAGTTTCAAATCAGTTCTCAAATTTTATAACTTTGCTTTTTAAAATTATTGAATAATGTAAAACATTCCACCATCCTCTCCCCAGTCGCCTTTGCCTTCACTCCAATTTGATTGGTAATGTAATAAATTTGGAAGAATAAATAAATAATAAAATTTTAAAAAATGAAAGAATAATAAAAACATAATTCAAACCTATGCAGTTTCTTTTTAAATAATAATTTTCAGAGAATGATGTGGTAAAAACATCATAAAATACAACAATATTAGAATTTTAAAATAAGGATTTATCTTCGACGGAGAATGTTGATTTTTAAAAACAAAATAATATTTATACTTAAACCTT